AGTTTGCCCTTCTCAGTAAATTATACCTAGAGCATTAATTGCCCTTCCTCTTCCTCCTTCCCACTGGCTCTTTTATCCCTCTCTCCCCCTTCTCTCTTCACCTTCTTGCTCTCTCTCCCTGTCTCTCTCTCTCTCTCTCTCTCTCTCTCTCTCTCTCACACACACACACACACACACACACACAATGTATTTGATTCAATTGTTAGCTCAAAATAAGCTAGGCCAAAAGAGACACTGTCTAGAGAACTACAAATGGTGGAAAGAATTTAAAGACAGAGCAAACTAAACAAAGAGTCCTATCTTTTATTGCCTATATTTCCAAACCCACTCTTGTTCCAGAAAAACCAAATGTGTCAAGTCTGCACAGGTGTGGCTCCAAGATCTCATAGAGAGCTACTTTTCTCAGTGATAGTATTAGGGTTGGAGAGGTGAGAGTGGACTTGGGGGTGGCAAGGACAATTCCAGTCTTAAATATCAGAGTGTAAAGGGACAGTTCTAGGTATTGCCAAGGTTTTTTGTATCATCTTCCACTCTACAGATACTAGCTTGGATGAAACATCTCACTGATTACAATTTTCCTCAGTACATCTTCCAGCCCACAGGTAGAAAAATTAAACACTTTTCAGGGACAGGTTGTACTACCTTGGGTCACCGACAGTGACCTGCCTCAGTGACATGCCTCAAGATCCCAGAACTTTACAGTTCACCCAAAACTTTAGTTTCAGACTGCAGCAACTGGCCAACATTTGGATCTATGCTATCCCAATATAGTAGAGTTCAAGGGTTTTCAAAGAAATGTTGATTCAAAGCTCTTCAGAAAAGTCTTTGTAATTGATCTTTATAGTTTCCTATCATGTTAAAAAGTTAAAAACTGTTTCCACTAAGAAACTTAGGATCAAAGTTAACCTGGAGTAGATCTAGGCTAATGTGAACCCCCAAGGTCTAACCTATAATAGATCCTACTTTAGGAACCCACCAGGACTAGATTAAGGATCTCTGGTGATGCAGTGCCTATGGCATTTGACTGCTAACTGTAAGGTTGTCAGTTCAAACTCACCAGCCACTCCACGGAAAGAAGATGGCAGAATCTACTTCCGTGAAGATTTACCACCTTGGAAACCCAAAGGGGGTCGCTGTGAATCAGAATCAACTCAAAGACAGTGAGAGTGAGTTGGATCAAGATTAATTCCAGCTTGGAAAGGTTGTTGGGAAGGGGGCGGAGAGGAGCTAGATGTTTGCTTAATTTGGGGAACTTGCCAGTTATGCTATCAGGTAACACATGAATCTAGAAAAACACAACAGTTAGCAAAGTTGTGCCTTCCTACAAAAGTGAAGGTTTACACTAAAGACCAATATAAAATTTATTTTCATTTTTTAAAATAAAAGATAAATTGTACATCTCTAAATTTGTCCAATGCAAACAAAATTACTTTGGTATCTTACAATGAGTTAATTAACTTGATAAGTGTTAACTCTGTGGAGAAGCACTCCAATATACAGGGGTTTTTATTATTATTATTCTTATTTAAGATTGATTAAAGGTAACTTTTAACAATCTAAGAAAACAAGCTAAAGAAAATCCCAAATCTGTGGCACTGAGTATCTTCTTATTTTAAATGGTGATTTGGAAAACCCGATTTATGAAATCACAAATGTCTCTAATTAAATACTATGCTGTTTTGTTAGTTGCCTTCAAATTGGTGCCAAATTAAATACTATAGTCCTACTTAATTTTACTTTAGCAAAATACTACTACTAAATGATGTACCACTGACTAAAGATTAGTACTATAGATATTTTCCCAAACCAAATTTTACCCTCAAATGGAATACCATTTAAATTACAAATACCAGAACCAAAAAAAAAAAAAAAGGATAAAACAAGTATTATATAGGAAGCTTCATAGCCCACCTTTCTTCTTGACAGGCATTCTTTGGTCTTTCCACAGCCACAGGATTCAAAATATATTTTCAAGTCTCAGCTTGATTCAGCTGGACTTAGGCCAAGAATCAGGTAACTGTTGTAAATCACTTCACTGTTCAGTTTTGAAATCCAGGCTAAGTCTTCTATTTCACATAAAGAAAATAATGAAGTATTTTTTCCCCCACAATTAATCTTTTGACACTGCCCACAGAGTTTAAAGAAAAATAACTTTTGAGTTTTTTTGGTTTCTAAATTTTCATAAAATATATATTCTGATTTGAAAAACTGAGAAAAGGATTGTAGACATAGAAAATGTTACTAAAACTCCTCTTCAGGTAGCAACATTTTGGAAGTTCAATGACAGTTCATTTAAGGCACAAACCAAATTTAGACACATGGTTCATTCTATGCATGATCAAGTTCAAAGACGAACTACTTGATAAAGAAGATCTTCAATTCTTTAGAGAGAAATTTAACTTCATCTGCCCCCCACCCAAAACAAACAAACTTTAGATAAACCTTCACTCTGGGGTCCGAAAAGATAGATGAGTTTGAACAGTTCTCTGGGGCAGAACACAGACTGGAAGGTCTCTTTCTATTTAATGGACCAGAAGTTCCGGATCTCACCCCCTCAGTCAGGCAGGATACAGCTTGCCGTCACTTTCTTCTTTTTCTTCTGTGCTCTGCAAGCCCCCCAAGCTTGCTCTGTAATGCCCCTCTGATTCTGATCTTCCCATATAATAATTAGAGGATTGAAAAGGAAAGCAATCCCTTGGCATAGAGACATTAAAGTGACAGTGCTACTCAATGGGCACTTGATGCAGGATGAGTTGGCGAAGCAGATTTCTTCACGCTGGAGTCATTCACATCATGCCTTCTCTTCGCATCCAAGCAGCTGGCTATCCGGCGAGGAAAAACAGAGACTGTTCGTGAGAAGTCAAACCTTCCCCCAAACGTGTTTTCAGAGACGCAGTAGTAGTATTAGGCATGTAAGCATAAGCTATAGCAACGGTCTGCGATTTCCTAATGAGAGTTCAGATGCTTGGCTTCCACATCCACTCCAAACCTCTCCGAACTACCCACCTTCCTTTTGCAGAAAAGACAAGAAACCTCTCTGCCACCGCTGCCACCCCTGCCTACACCCCGTTCTTATATAGAAGAGCACTGAAATGTCCTGCACCCTCCACGCGATGAAATGTTTCCTCAGGCAGAAGAAACAGCTGCACTAGAAATTATATAACTCTCGAATTTGGCTTTTCTAAGACATGGAGTCTGGAGGGTCGGGGGTTGCTGGTCTGGGAGATACTGGCCGGCCTCCTCTCAGCACCCCCCACCCCCAAACACAGGTTGACAAGGGGCTCTTCTAGAGTAGGGGCGCGGCGGGCAAATATCTCTCCGGTCCCTTTCCAAGCCGGGCGAAAGGGTGGAATGTGAGGGGACTAAAGAATGGGGAGGCTGCGAGGGGAGAAGGCTAGTCGGGGATACTCTGGCGGCCCCGGGTGGCCGGTGGAGGTTCTAGAGAGGTGCCCGAGAAGCTGGAGCCTTTACCCAAGGACCAGGCCAGAAGAGACGAATTCTCTCAGAATGAAAGGAGCAAGGAGCTCGACTCCAGCTAACGGAGCTGCCCTGAGGTGAGAACCTCGCAGCAGTAGGCACAGGTTGGAATCGCCCCATTTTCGCTTCAGGATAAGAGAGCGCTTGACTAACAAATGGCTGGGGGACGGAATGCCCGGCTTGCTGAGAGGCGAGCCCACTACGGTGGAGTCCTCCTGGAAGCCAATGACTGGCCGTAATTTCTAGAAAACACTGCCAATTACAGCCAGGTTGGAGGGCGCGGCATTTGGCTGGGTGGGGGCGGACCCGGGCGGAGCGCGACAGGCGTGAACCAGCACCACTTCCCGCCCAGGGCGTTCTGGACTCCCATCCACCCGCGGGTCACGTGAGCTGCCAAAATGGCGGCGCTCGGCGGTGAGGCTGGGTCTCTGCGCTGGGGAATGTAGCTGGTGGTGCCTGTGGGAGCCGGCGAGGCGCGCAAGGTAGGCGGAAGTCTGGAATGGCAGAGGCCATGACTTTTAGGACTTTCCTGAGATAATGCGTGTAAAACCAAAAAAAAAAAAATTAAATTCACTGCCATTCCGGTTTGACTCAGAGCGATCCTGTAGGACAGAGTAGAACTAACCTATAGGGTTTACAAGGCCGTTACTCTTTATGGAAGCGGACTGCCTTATCTTTCTCCCGCTGAGGGGCTGGTGGGTTCCAGCCGTCGACTATTCGGTTAGCAGCTGAATACCTTAACCATTGCCTTTTTTTGTTTTTGGTAACCTCCTGCGTTTTAATTGCCTGCTTTTTTGTCCTGCCCTAGTGCTACGCTGTGGGGTCCTAAAGACAAGACTGTATCACTTAACTAACCAAGTGCCTGTCATACCAAGTGCTCCATAAATGAGTGAATGTTAAATAAAATTCTGAAGATCAAGTGAAATAATATGCATAAAAGCACAACAAAAACTATAAAAAGCATTGCAAACTATTTCAGTTGCTGAGTCCTTCTGACTCACAGATTGAGTTAGACTAGTTCATTTTTAAGTAAAATGTTGGTTGTAACAAAATCTTTTTAATACTTGTAAAAGCCTTTCTGAGAATTACCAGTCTAGTTCTCTGATTTACTAAGTGGAGTGTAATGAAGAGAATCATTTCTTTGAGTGTCTTGGTAAGAACTCCAAACAAAAAAACCAAACTCATTGCCATCAAGTGGATCCGGACTCATAGCTACCCCTCCTTGGATTTCCGAGGTGGTATCACTACAGAAGTACATTGCCCAATCTTCCTTCCGAGGAGTGGCTGGTGGGTTTGGACCATCAGCCTTCTGGTTTGCAGTCACATACTTTAGGCACTATGCCAAGAACTAGGCACTCAATAAATAGTTGCTGTCTTGTTTTAGTATTTTAGGATCATAATTTTGGATGTCTGTTTTTATACAGACTTGATAGTATAGACTAAGTAGAATATTGTTAAAAGGTATTACCTGCAATAAGGTATTATCTGGAAGGTGGGTTTTTGGTTTTGTTTTTTTGTGAAAAATGGAGAATTTCAAAGTGGGCAACACTAAAACAAAAATGTATCCAAGGTTTCAGGTAAATCATCATTGTTACTGACATCTGTCTTTCTAGTACATTAAACAGGCTGGATATAAAATCCCTTAGAAATTACTGGGAGCTCTGGTGGTGTAGTGCCTAAGGCATGAGACTGCTAACTAGAAGGCTGGCTGTTCAAACCCACCAGCCACTCCTCCTGGGAAGGAAGACTGGGCAATCTACTTCTGCAGTGATACCTCCTCAGAAACCCAAGGAGAGGTTGCTATCAGACTCTACAGCAGTGAGTTTGGTATTACTTGGTTTAGAAATTACTGTCTTTTCTTTTCCATTTTCAATTTGGTTGTCTGGGAGAGGCAAAAACTTTAGCCCCTGAGAAACTGTAATTTGTAAAATATTTTCTCTTTTTTTCCTGCCCTCCTTTTTTAAGCAATAGATAGAAGTAGATTGAGTTGAGTTTTCCAAGGATGCAGGGAAAGAAACTGGTTTATTGTTACTCACTGAGGAACCCATACTTTCAGGATGTTGATGTCATTGATGGCCCTTCAGTGTTAGGGTTAGGATTGGAACAGATCACACATTCAGCAAACTTGTATTTTAATGATGTTCAAAGTGTGTCTATTGACTACTGGCATCGGAAGCTTTTGCAGTGCTATTAAAATGCATATTTCTAGGCCTCGCCACATTCCTATTGAATCCAACTCTCCATAGGGAGTTTAAGAGACTACATTTCAAGCAAATTTCCCACTGAAAGTTGACCACCACTGATTTATTAAGTATCTCTGTGCTCAATATGCATTCAGTCCACTTGCTGCCCAGTAGATTCTGACTCATGGTAGCTCTGTGTGTACGAGTAGAATTGTGTTCCATAGGGTTTTCAATGGCTGATTTTTTTTTTTAATTAGGTCACCACGGCTTGCTTCAGGGGTACCCCTGGGTGGATTTGAACCTCAGTCCTTTTAGGTAGCAGCCGAGCACCTTAACTGTTTTTCATACCACTTAGGGACTCCACATCGTGCTTGTTGCTGCTGTTGTTACTATCAAACTGATTCTGACTTAGGATGACCCCCTGTGTGCAGAGTAGAACTCCATTCCATAGAGTTCTCAAAGGTGTAACCTCTCAAAAATAGATCATCACATCTTCTGAGATGTTTCTGTATGTGAACCACCAACATTTTAGTTTAACAATTTGTATCCAAGAACTCCTCATTGTGCTTTAATCCATTCTAATTCTCTTGCCTAGGACTCCTAAAATTTGAGATTAAATATATGCCCTTTCAGATCCCACTTGATGGCAGTGAGTTTGGTTTTGGTTTTATAAAAATTATCAAACAAGCAGCTACTGATTTCTACCTTGTCATCACTGCTAAAATGGCATGGGGGCAGCATTTTCTGACCTCCTCTAACTTCACAAGGGGTAGAAAGAATTGCCATCATCAGCCTAAAGCTTATTCCTATGAGGCTAGACATGCCACCACCCTCCAACCTTTTTACCAACTCTGACACCAACTGTCCCTTCCACAGCACTCACTACTTCTCTGCTGGGTTCGATAATTTGTTACAGTAGCCACAAAGAACTCACAGACAATACTCATGATTATAGGGTTTATTAGGGAAGTAACAGGTTACAATTCAGATTCAGGAACACTCTCAGGATACTAATTCTTGGATCAGGCCAATCCCCTCTGCTATGCCCTCAGGCACGCCTCCCTGGCCCTTGGCCTCTCAGCCTGGCCTCTGCCTTGCTTGGGCAAGTATTACAATGCTCTTTTAGCTCTAACGATAGTACACGTAGGTGCACCCCACTCTGCCAGCAATCCTTCTACCTGATGGCACTCAGCTTTCTCACTGTGAGCCTGCAGGCCTGCCACTCTGTCTCATGCCTCTTGGTTCCACTGCTGTGGCCATCTTAGCTAGTCATCTCAGCTGGTTGTCTCAACCAAGGAGGTCCAGCACAAGGACCTCAGGTCCAAGGACATGCTCCACTCCAACTCTTCTCTCTTGAATGGCAGTGAGATCCTGCCTTCTGCCTGTAGGAGGGTTCATTTTAAGCCCAGCTGAATGACAAAACTAACCAATCCCCACATGAGAGTTCCATACATCTTATTTGCATGGTTCTACCCAGTGATCTGGTGGGAGTCACAAAGACTGGTTAGAAAAGCCATACGAAGTAATTCACCGTACCACAGTAAAAACCAAAATAAAAAATAAAAAAAAAAACTCACTGCTGTCGAGTCGGATCTGACTCAAAGCTACCCCTCCTTGTGTTTCTGAGATGGTATCACTACAGAAGTAGGTTGCCCAGTCTTCCGAGGAGTGACTGACTGGTGGTTTGAACTGCCAGCCTTCTGGTTAGCAGTCAAATGCCTTAGGCACTAGGCCACCAGAGCTCCTCTGCCATAGTCACCCACCAAAAATGTTGGACAAGGAGAACTGCAAAGGGCCTGGCTACCTTCTTGGAATGGGAAGAGGAAAAAACTGAAAGGAAGGGGAAAAAAAACTGTATCTTAATACATTAACTTTCTACACTAAGTCCTAATGCAAGTCAATCTTTCTGCACCTCAGTTTGCTCAACTATAAAAGTAGAGAGGATCGTTATCCTACCAATTTTTCAAGGTTATTTTATGGATCAGTAAAAGCCATTGTCCAGCAAAGAATTAAGAGTTCAGTAAATGTTGATTGAATCATTAGCGTAAGTATGTGAAAGCTTATGACATAGTACCTCACATTACTAGACTCTAAATGTTTTTGTTAATCTGAATCCATAAAACGTCTAAGGTTTTCATTAATACTGACATTTACTCTTCTGATTTGGGAAATTTGTCTTTTCCAGGACATCAAGATGGCACCTTATGGTCAGCCCAGTTCTTTTCTAGAAGATGCAAATTTCAGAAGACCAACAGTCACTGAAATTATAGAAAAAAAAATTGAATATCTTAGAAAAGAAAAGTAAGACACACCAGACTGAAAATCAGTAATTGTTTACACATCTTCTGTATTGCTTTTGTTTCTGTGAAGTGTCTAAGATCCTATTAGCTTCATTGAGTTCGCCATGAAGAAAGTTCTTTTTTTAAAAAAAGAAGAATTAGAAGGAATCATAGACAAAAGTAGTGGTTTGTTGAAATTTTGGTATCATGGTTAATTTCTTCTGCTTCTTAAAAAATTTCCAGTAAAAATTGTTGACATTATTTGAGCAATAAATATTTTTGTTCAAATCATTTTGTGGTCATTTATATATAACTGATGATCACTTATAACTAATTAAAATCCGTTCAGGATTAATTACCCTGGGTGGTACAAATGGTTTGCACTTGACTGCTAACCTAAAAGTTGGTGTTTCAAACTCATCCAGTGGTGCCATGGAAGAAAGGCTTGGTAATCTTCTTCTGTAAAGATTATAGCCAAGAAAACCCTGTGGAGCAGCAGTTCTTTTAACACATGGGGTTGCCATGAGTTGGAATTGACTCAATGGTCCCTATCAACAACACAGAATTTATTTCTATTTAACTTGTAGCTATAATTTTTTGTCATTACCTGCTGTGAAATTGGCCCCTAACTCATGGTGACTTAACACACAACTGAATGCTGACCAATCCTGCACCATCCCCGTGATCAGTTGCAGATCAGATCATTGGGATCCATAGAATTGTCATTGGCTGATTTTTAGAAGTAGATCACAGGCCTTTCTTCCTTGGCTTTTTTAGTCTGGAAGCTCTGCTAGAAGCTATTCAGCATCACAGCAGCATAAAAGCCTCCACTGACAGGTGGTGACTGCACTGACTGCAGGTCTAACTGAGACCTCCTTCATGTAAGATAAAAATTTTACCACTGAACCACCAATGTATTGGCCAAAAAGAGCTCCAATTCAAAATGACCTTAAATAATCTCATAAAGAGAATCCTATCTTCTTATTAAGGAGCTCTGGTGGTGTAGTACCTAAGCCATTTGACTGCAGTTCAAAACTACCAGCCACTCTGCAGAAGGAAGACTAGACAATCTACTTCCATAAAGATTTACCACCTCAGGAGCCCAAAGGGAGTTGCTGTGAGTCGGTATCGACTCGACGGCAGTGAGTTTGGTTTGATATTTTGATCTTCTTATTAGAATGCAAGTTCCATAAGGGCAGGGATTTTTTTTCTTTTGTTTACTGCCCAATCCTCAGCACTTAGAAAACACCATTCACATAGTAAGTGCTCAAGAAATACTTGGTACTGAGTAAATACATAATAACAAATAACCTAGGAAAAGATGCATCTGTTAGGAGAATATGTGATGAATTTAATTTTTCTTTTTTTGTTTTTTTTCCTAGTAGGGCCTTAAATATATATGGATCAGTGTTCTTTGGAACAACAGCTAGTTTCTCGGGAATATTGGCAAACTTCATTTTTAGATACTGCTTCAAGGTTAAACATGATGCTTTGAAGACATATGCATCACTGACCACACTTCCATTTTTATCTACTATAGTTACTTACAAATTCTTTGTAACTGATGCTTTGTGTTCAGGTAATTTAAATTCACTGATGTTTAATGTTATATCTAAGTAAAGTTACTCATTAATACAGTGAAACCTGTAAGAGCCAGAACTCAACAGGACTTTCTTGTTTTTCTGGGTCTCACAAGTTTTCTGCCTTTGATAGGATACAGTCTTATCACTTTTCTCTCCTCTTGTTTAGTGGGAAATGTTTGGGTTTTCATTCTCTGACAGGTTTCTGCCTTACACAGGTTCTGGCTTTCACAGGTTTACTGTATAACTGTTCCTAATGCTGATTCCCTTTAGAGAAGGTTTCTAGATATAGTTTCTGTATACTTTACCTTCAATATACTGTGCACACTTATAATTATTTATTTAAATATTTGTTTAATGTCTTTCTTTTCTAGTAGACTGACCTGAAGGTCTTTTATGCACCTAGCACCTAGCACATGCTAGATACATGGCACAGTAGAATGTATTAACCTAGAATCCAACTACTGTTGGAATATTGCTACTTTATTATTCTTTCATTATCATATTGCTTCTGCAACAACCAAATATGTAAGAGGTAATACTCCTTAGGATAGAGTCTAACAAAAGCATTTTAAAAACTTGATGCGTTTAACCTATTATGTGCCATCAACTTTAAATTTCCAATATTTTTTCTGCTGTTTCACAGCAATTAAGAACAGTGCACATAACTACTATATATGACACAAGACTCATTATAGTTCTTATCCTGAGTTTTAAAAGAAGACCAAATTTACTTTTTTTTTTCCAGGTAATATAAGCCAGGAAAATTGTGTTGTGAGAAGTTCACTGGTAGGCTTAGTATGTGGTGTTTTATACCCCAGTGCTTTGGCTTTTTCTAAAAATGGACGTGTGGCAGTCAAGTAAGTCTTTCCATTCATGTTCTCTCTCTTTCTCTGTCTCCCCCTCTTTCCCATGCCTCTCAGCCCCCTGCCCCTTTCCCTTATACCTCTTTCCCCTCCTGCCTCCCACCATCTCTTCCTCTTTCTCTCCTTACCTGCCTCTCCTTATCCTTCCTCCCTCCTTTCCATTTTTTCAGGTTAATAAACTCCTTATTCTTTAGTTAACATGACATATTTTAACTAAAATAGTTCAATATTTCAATTTACTGACTTTTAACTTTTCTTCTACCTACATGATACACCTAAGATTGAAATTAATTATCAGTTTAGGTGAAGTCATTGAAGTTTTTGTAGAATACATGTCCAGGAAAAGTGATAACCTCATTTTCCTTTTTAGGTATCACACTGTTCCACTGCCACCAAAGGGAAGGGTTTTATTCCATTGGCTGCTGCTTTGTCAAACAGGAGTGAAAGCAATGGCAATTCCTCTAGTCTTTCAAATGCTCATTGGAATAATTAACGGTCTGCAACATTATGAAGTATTTGAAAGTACTCTGGAGAAGACTGCACATGAAGATTAACCAACAAATGGATGGATGCTAAAATAAGCAGAATGGATTTTTTTATGACAAGGACTTAGGTATTGCTGAAAGAGTTAAAACTCACTCTGGACAGGCAACTTGTTTCTGTCCCTTCTGCCTGATATATAGCAGGTACTTAATAAATATTCAGTAATTCAATAAATAAATGTTAAATTTAACTGTTGTGCATGGAAAATAACTTTGAGGCCTCCAGGTCTGATCTATACATTTATATAATCATTCATTCATCAAAACTTGATTGAACACCAGCTATCCCTCAAGCACTTTGTTACATGTATTAAAAAATGGTTCTACCCAGAAGGAATTCACAATCAAGAAGAGAAGTGAGAATAAGGAATGAGAGTGTTGGAGAGGTGTACACGTAATTCTGTGGGGGTATTGAGGATGTGGTTATTAACTACTTAGGTAGAAGGGGAAGCTATGGAAGAAAAAAGTGACATTTGAGCTTAATTTTGAAGGAGAGGTCAGAAATTCATAAGAAAGCAAGGGATGAAAATGGCCTACAGCCCATTCCTCTATGCTAACTATGATTCTAACTTCTACAAATTGTCTTCACAGTTTAAAAGAACATTTACCAAATGCCATGCACCAGGGGCCAGTTAGGCACCAAGGGTGCAAGAATTAGTTCCAGACCTCAAGAAGCTTAAAATCTAAAGAGCTCAGAGTATGAAGAATCTGCTTAAGGTCATCCCTGAACTTCATATTTATCTTAGTTAGGAAATGAATACTGTCAAAAATAAGTTACAGAATGGAACCTCAGAGCTCATTCTCCCTGTCCTAGTCATTCACCTTGAGATTAAAGACTTGCTCCTTTAAGGCCCCAAGCAATCCAAAGCAGAGGTGGAAGTCTTAAAAAAGTGCTTTATGGCATCACATAATGAGCTGAAAAACATGTACTCTTGCTAATCAAAACAAAGGCTAGTTAGCAGTCCAGCTCTGTGTTCTTAGGATAATTCATGATGCTTAAAACTTTTTGAAGAGGAAAGGGCAGGTGTTGGTGGGAACCAAGTCAAATAGATAAATAGCCTGATGGTTTTCATATTTTAACTCAAAAAATTATTCATAATTAATACATGAATACCTTCTCATTGTGAGATACTCAAATGATCCAGAAGTAGAGCAAGACTTGAAAGTTTCCCTTCACTCCTACTACATCCTATTTCTACTCCACTCTCTGGACATAACCACTGTCAAGTTAGCATGCATCATTCCTTACAGTATTCTTTCATTGAATATATGTACTGATAAATGTACATACATAGTTGTTTTGGGGATTATGGGATACTGAGATTATTTATACATATTCTGGAAATTAATTTTTTACTACCCTTTGTCTTGGAGATCTTTCAAATCATTACACATAGTCTAGCATGTTCTTTGTAGTGACTGCATACATTCTTGGTGATTCCAGTATCTACATGGGTGATCCTTTCAACATCCTGGACTCGACTCTACCTCTACCTACCACTTCTTTCCATGGTAATAATCTAGACCTGAGTTCTCCAATATAGTTACCCACTAGCCATATGCAGCTAGTAAACATTTGAAATGTAGCTAGTTTAAATAGAGATGAGCTGCAAAAATAAAATACACAGCAGGTTCTGAAGAGTTACTGTGTAAAAAGAATGTAAAATATTAACAATCTTATATTACATGTTGGAATATTAACTATTTTATATATATTGAGTTAAAACATACTAAATTCACCTGCTCCCTTTTGCTGCTTTTTAATATGGCTACTAGGAAATTTTAAGTTATATATGTGACTTGGAGCTCTGGTGGCATAGTGGATAAGGCACTTGGCTGCTAACCAGAAGGTCGGTGGTTCAAGCCTGCCAGTTGTTCTGCAGAAAGAAGATGGGGCAATCTCCTTCTGTAAAGATTTACAGCCTCAGAAACCCAGTGGGAGTCGGAATCAACTCAATGGCTGTGAGTTAGGTTTTGTTTGTTTGTTTCTTAATGTGACTCAAATTACATTTCTTTTGGACTATGCTGCTCTAGACCTTCCTATTAATAAATGCAAATTCAATTCTCCACATTCTCAATTTCTTACTGTCTTTGCAGAGGTAATTAGTTAACAGATAATACTGGAGTTTAAGATGAGTTTTTTATGTTGAGACACTTAACTATCTTTCTCTAGTATCTCCTCCAATTTTTTTCTGTAGCACATGAATTTTATCAGTAGGTCCTAAACCAGTTAAAATGATGATACTGTTTTTGTTTTTGTTTTTTTAAAAAAAGAGAGGGAAGATAGCCATGTAAAGACAGAGCCAGAGACTGGAGTAAATGTAGCCACGAACTAAGGAATGCCAGGGCTACCAGAAGCTGGGAATGACAAGAAAGAACCTCTAGAGCCTTCAGAGACAGCATGCCCTACCAACAATCCAAATGCAGACTTCTAGCCTGCAGAACTGTGAGACAATAAATTTCTGTTGTTTAAAGCCACATACCATAACTCCAAACCAAACTCATTGCCATCGAGTTGATTTTGACACATAGCGACCCCACCTTAAGTTTCAAGGTGGTATCACTACGGAAGTAGATTGCCCCACCTTCCTTTTGAAGAGTGGCTGGTGGGTTTGAACCGCCAGCCTTCTGGTTAGAAGTCAATTGCCTTAGGCATTACGGCACCAGAGCTCCTAAAGCCACACGGTTGTAATTTGTTATAGCAGCTTTAGAAACTAATACAATCATATTCTGCCCTCATTTTCTGTGTGATAGTTGGAGCTGTGTCAACTTGGCTGGACCACAATTCTGTGGTTATTGTGATGTGGTTATTCCCATGATAGTATCAGATGAGTATGTTTTGAGCAGCCAGTCTGTTGAAAGGGAGTTTCTCTAGGGATGTGGCCTGCTTCCAGTATATTTATGGACATCCTGGGAAAAGAGACACTCTTCTGTGGATCGGGATTCTGTTGTGCTGCCTGCAACTGTCTGTGAGCGAACATCCACCATTCGGCCTGGAGATTTGGATTTGTCATTCATTGGAGTCAACAGCCAGTATACTGCCTGCCAACCTTGAGTTCCTCAGCCCCTGCAGCTGTGAGTTGGGAAAAGCCTCCAGCTTGATATCTGATCCAAGAACTTTGGACCTGCCAGCTTCTATAAGTGTGTGAGCCATTTTCCTAAGACAAATTTCTCTTTCTATATAAGTTTTACTGGCCAACTAATACATGAAGAGATGCTCACAATCATTGGCCATCAGAGAGAAGCAAATCAACAAAGAGATACCGTCTCACCCCAGCACTGATGACAAGGTTCAACAGGACAGAAAATAACAAATGCTGGCAAGGATGTGGAGAGATTGGGACTCTCATGCACTGCTGGTGGGACTGTGAAGTGATACAAACACCATGGAAAGCAATATGGCAATTCCTTAGGAAGCTGGAATTGGAGATACCATTTGACCCAGCAATCCCGTTACTAGGTATATATCCTAGAGAGGTGAGAGCCAGGACAGGAACAGATATATGCACACTCACATGCATTGTAGGACTATTTACAATAGCAAAAAGATGAAAACAACCTATGTGCCCATCAGTGGAAGAGTGGATGACCAAACTATGGTACATACACATACTGAAATGCTATGCAGCACTAAAGAATAATGTAGAGTCTGCAAAACACTGCATAATATGGATGAACTTGGAGGACATTATGCTGAGTGAAATAAGTCATTCACAGAGGGAAAATTATAGTATTGGTTCATTGTTGTGAAGGATCAAGGAAAGCTTTATATAGAGGAGCACAGTACCCTGCTTGCGTAGATAACATAGAAGCAAAACAAAATGAAAATTGTGGCAAGTCACTCCAACATACAATCACCAATTAAATATATACACAAAAACGTCACAATGCCTCAGAGAAAACAGAGCATCACAGTCCACACAAAGAAGCAAGATTAAACAGGATACAAGCCCAAAACACATCTCTGAGGAAGATGCAGCATTGGAACTCCCTCATAAGGAACTCAGAAGAATTATATTTAGGTATCTTCAACAAATTCAGAGACAAATCAAGGAAAACAGAGAAAACCCCAGAACAATTTCAAAAGAAAATACAAGAGTAAAATGACAAAATAAATGAAAAATTAGAAATAATACAAAATCTATACACAGAATTCCAGAAGATTAATACTAAATTTTCAGAAGTAGATAAGACATTGAATGGGCAAAGGGGCAGAATTGAATCAATGGAAGACAGAATTAGGGAAATTGAAGGCAAAAACCTAAACACTTCTTTGGAAAGGGATAAATCAGAAAAAAAGATCAAAACAAAATGAAGAAAGCCTGAGGTTCATGTGGGATACCATCAAAAGGAATAACCTACATGTAATCGGAATTCTAGAACAGGAAGAGACAAAACTACGGAGAAAATTATCGAAGATTCGTTGGAAGAGAAATTTCCTGGTATGATTAAAGATGAGACTATATTCATTCAGGAAGTCCAACAAACCCCAAACAGGATAGACTCCAAAAGATAATCACTCAGACATATCATCATCAAACTTACCAAAACCAAAGACAAAGAACGAATCATGAGAGCAGCACAAGAAAAACTAAGCTTGAATTTCTCAGCAGAAACCATGCAGGCAAGAAGACAATGGGATGGTATATATAAAACCCTGAAAGAGAAAAATTTCCAACCAAGAATTATGTACCCAGCAAAATTGTCCCTCAAATATGATGGTGAAATTAGGAGGTTTCCAGACAGGCAGAAATTAAGGGAATTTGTTAAAACCAGACCAATATTACAAGACATGCTAAAGGGAGCCCTTTAGACAGAGAAGCAACAACAGCCAACAACACTGACCATTAATACACATGATGATATAACCCAGAAACCAACCAAGCTATGGAAGTATCCAGAGAAAAGAAGCTTAAAAGATTGTAAACAGGGAACCAGAGACATCAATTGACAAATGAGGACAACTACAAACCAAAAAGAGGGAAAAAAAAACTGTGTCATGACAGAACTTC